TTCCCAAAAGCATCGTTAGCTAACTATGGTGGCAAGTTCCACTGAACTCTACTGGCAGCCTAATGACAGAATTTGCGACTATAGTTGCTTTTGGGAAACACGCTCCAGGAAGGCTAACAGTGTTTATAAAGACTACAAGAAAGTTACAGTTTGCCAGTTATCATGCCATTTCTTTTTGGGTGTGAGAATTGTCCTCTAATGGCCACAAAATTAGACAGTGCATGTGATTTTGATTTTGAATAATGTTTATCATTATATTGTCACCACAGTAATGAATTTTAGTGCGCAGTGTATTTTCAAAAGTTCGAAAACAACTAAAAGCTGTATTTGAACACTGCACTATCAGTTCATTCTTGGTGTTATATATGCAAGGTCTAAGGTGAGTAGGGATGGGCATATCGATCCTGAAGTATCAATATATCGATACTGATGCAAGTATCGAAAGTATCGATACTCAAATAAAAAATATCGATACTAAGGTGTTTTATTTACCAGTGATTTTGTTTATTTAACAAAAAAATGAATGCGTACATTATGCATTGAATTGGACGAATAACTTAATTCAGCGATTAACTGTGTAGGATAGAAGTATTTTCCTGCTCATCTGAACCAATCAATCACAGAGAGCGTTCACTCACTTCTGACCTTCTGACAGTGCATTCAAACAGGGCTGCGTTTCCCAAAAGTGTCATAAGAAACCACTGATGCTTTTGGGATCTGCAGCCCTGAACAATGCTCATCAGAGGACAGAAAAAAACATATGTTTGAGTTATTTCACAATAAATAATCTGAAATTGTAGCCTACATAGTTTGTGCAATTACATTTATTTAAACTGAACGTTAAAAGTTCATATTGATCATGTTATATTCTGTAATGCTAGTATACATGATACACTGTCAGAATAAAAACGTTGCATTTTATGCATGCAACAGCCCGTCACTGGCAGTCCCTTATGAAAACGAACCATGGTTTTACTAAAGTTCAACTATAGTATTTGTTGATTTCCATGGTTACCACTACAGTAAACATATTTTAACCATGTGTAAACAAAAATATAACTTAATGTTGCAATTAGGGCGTATTGAATGTTAAAATGTGTTTCAAATATAAAGTTAGTAGGTATTTTACTCTTAGTAATTTAATAATTTCATGAATTTCGTAATTTAAAGGTTCAGTTTAGAAGTATCGTATCGGTATCGATATCGACAATACTGGCCTTTAAAAGTATCGGTATCGTATCGAAAACAAAATAAGTGGTATCGCCCATCCCTAAAGGTGAGATCTAATATTAAAATAAGAGATGTTTTGAAATCAAGGAGCCTGCAAACATACCTGTCACATGTGCAGCTCTCACTGAGACTCAGTGCCCTCTGCTGGCTGGAGTTGATACTGCACTCCTCTGGCTTCAATGAATCTTTATTGAAATGGTAAATTGCATTGTGGCAGGGCTCGTAAAATGGGTGTAATCTAGCGCCCCGGAAGTTATCTTTAATTGGTCCGGTAACACTAAGCTAAATAATAATAATAATCTTATTTTAAACTCCCAAATATATATATAGTTAAGAATCTCAGACTTATTCAGGTGTGATTTATTGTCCTGACCGCAGCTCAAAGAGGCACGTGAATGGTATCTGTTATTTTTCTCACAGTGATTTGCGATTAATCAATTAGGCTTTTGTTGATTCATTTTATAGAAATGTATTTTGCATGTCAGATAACAATTTTAAAGATGACCTATTTCGTTTTAACTTTTCTCTAATAAGGCAAAATCGAGCGGAAATTGCATTGCTAATGGTTTTGCTTTCTGAGCGCCACACACTTTTTTTGAGAAATACAGCTTCTCGTCCCTGTTGAAAAAACCAGCATATGCTGGTTAGGTATGTTTTGACGCTGGGATGCTGGTTTAAGCTGGTCCTTTGCTGGTTTAAGCTGGTCCTTTGCTGGTCCTTTTGCTGGTTTAAACTGGTCCTTTGCTGGTTTAAGCTGGTCCTTTGGTGGTTTATGCTGGTCCTTTGCCAGCACATGACCAGCATAAACCAGCAAAAGGACCAGCTTCAACCAGCAAAAGGACCAGCAAAGGACCAGCTTAAACCAGCAAAGGACCAGTTTAAACCAGCAAAAGGACCAGCTTAAACCAGCAACGGACCAGCATAAACCAGCAAAAGGACCAGTTTAAACCAGCAAAAGGACCAGCTTAAACCAGCAACGGACCAGCATAAACCAGCAAAAGGACCAGTTTAAACCAGCAAAAGGACCAGCTTAAACCAGCAACGGACCAGCATAAACCAGCAAAAGGACCAGTTTAAACCAGCAAAAGGACCAGCTTAAACCAGCAACGGACCAGCATAAACCAGCAAAAGGACCAGTTTAAACCAGCAAAAGGACCAGCTTAAACCAGCAACGGACCAGCATAAACCAGCAAAAGGACCAGTTTAAACCAGCAAAAGGACCAGCTTAAACCAGCAAAGGACATCAAAACATACCTAACCAGCATATGCTGTTTTTTTCAACAGGGGTAGACAACATGTCGCCCAGTGGTTTTTATTAGGCCTATTTCTGTGAAGCAAATTTAATAACAAATATTATACTTCTATAGATTTGAATAATCATGACTTAATTACTATTAGCTCACCTCAGTAACCAAAAAATGAGAGGACTAAATATTTCAAAATGTTATTTGTATGCTTTAAACTTTTTCAACACATTCTTATGGTTGACTCTTATGGCATTTACGACTGTCAATGTTATGGCAATTTAATGTTCTGTCAATAACCTTGTTATAGCCTAATAAAATACACAAGATTTAGTTTCTGAAGAAAGCAAGCTTCCCGCAAACCCACGTTTATTTGGGAACCAGGAAACTATTTTAACAAACATTTCCACACTTTCTCATACAAATGTATCCACACGCAATTCACTTAATGTCCCTATTGCTCTCATCTGTGTAGAATTGTACATATCTGCAGCTACTTAATTACAGCTACCAACTAAGTGGTAAGTGGAAACAACTTAAGAAAATATCTGATAATGTGCAGCTATTGATGAAAGATGGTAAAATCCTGCAAGTTAGGCTTGGTAAACATAACTGTAATTCTTTACATTGACCGCAAGGTGGAGACACAGTACAGCAAAAAAAAAAGTAGTTATTGTTGTCAGATGTTTAATAGGAATGCGCTCTAAAAATTGTATAATTAAAAAACGTAATTGTTTTAAATGACATGCCTTATTATTATTATTATTATGAATTACTTTACATTGGTTTCCATTATTATTAGGTTGCATTCTCTTTCAAAGTAGCATGAATCCACCTAAATGTTTTGTTTGTGTAAAGGTATAGATGGAAATACCACAGCACGTTGGAAAATGGAAAAGTGTGACAACTCCTTTAAAAATATAATATTCTTTTGGAATGTTTAAACCTATTGTACACTCTAAAAATGCTGGGTTAAATTCAACCCAGTGCTGGGTAAAATAGGGACAAACCCAGCAACTGGGTTGTTTTGACCCAGCGGTTGTTTAAATGTTTAACCCAACCTTCTGGGTAGTAACCCAGCCGCTGGGTCAAAACAACCCAATTGCTGGGTTTGTCCCTATTTTACCCAGCACTGGGTTGAATTTAACCCAGCATTTTTTGTGTACAATACGTTTAAACATTCCAGAAGGATATTATATTTTTAAATGCTAACCCAGCATTTTTTTTAGAGTGTATCGGAATCTATCACACATAAGCACTCTGGTGTCCTTTGGCTAAAAATGCTAATAAATAGTTGTATGCAGGCTATTTTACATTTGCTAAAAAAAACACAGACATATTGCAACAGGACATTCCAAGTTAGATTACAAAAAAATAACTCGACATGTAATATGACACAAAACTAACCATTCTGCAACAATTTCAATGTCATTCTTTGTCTAAGAATCTCCACTGGAGTTTCACAGAAAGGCTCTGTGGATTACGTAAGGGACCACCTGTAGGTTTTCATTCACCGTCTCTGTGAGTGATACTGCTATTAATACAGCTGAAATTCAAAAAGGACGTTTTGATGGTGTAAAAAAAATCAAATCAAACTGTCACAGGTTCTCTCTAACAAAACATGGCTGGGGCCCCCGAGCTTCAAAAACATTTCTATAACGTCGATCAAAGGACAACGGTCTCAAATTAGACCTTAGAAAACCTGCCGCATCAGTCTAAAGGTTCTATCTACATGCCACCTTTATTCTAGACTTTAAAAGAAAGATCAAAGTTTCCCCGGATGAAAAGGACCCGTTTCCTGCATTTAAACCCCATTCCCCGGCCCTCTTTTAGTCAATTAAGTAGCAAGCACGTGAAGGGTTCAACAATTATGGAGATTCTCCAACACAAGGCCCTTGTCTCTAATTAGGCCTCAGATATAGCTAAAAGAGTTTCTCTGAACAGAACCCACAAAAGCATCTTCAATGGGAATGACCACAAAGAGCCGATGCGGAGCACTCGTTACCAGAAGCTTCCTCGGCATTAAAGCAGCACTTGGGAGAAATTCAGATTCATCAAAAAAGTGTTTTATTGTCAAAATAAAAGTCATATTTGCTTTGCATGTGGCATCTACACTATATACAAATGTACAATAATCTTATAAATCATCTTTTATACACCATTTACAAGTTTTTATAAATACATTTCGCAAAAGGAACAACAACAACCCGTATATAATAACAATAATAGGGCACTGAAACATTAAGGCTTATTGAAACCATCTTTGATTGTTCAGACAATTCAAAACTTGTCTTCCAACAACACGAAATGCTGCAAGTTGGGGACATGTGTTACTCCACTAGGAACAATGTAATGCCCAAACTCTCCTTAAGAGTGACTGATTGCATGTCATGTCCATATCAATAGAATGGAATTAGCGCATCGCTGCATTGTTTCACCCAGTTCGTCCGCTAATAGAAACCATCAACAAGTTCATTTGTATGCAAACGAATGAAAAGACTAAGAGATTAATAGGGGGGTCTTGTTTCAGACCTGGGACAAAGGCATCTGCTTGGGGCAGGACACCGAGCTGGCGGTCCCGGACCTCCACGTTAAACCCGTGCTCACATCACTGTACATGGAGCCACCGGAGCCCTTGCTGCCCCAGCAGCAGCGCGTGCAGAAACTCCTCCAGGACTCCAGGGTCTTACCGGACCAGGTCCAAACTCCAGAGGTGATGCCCACCAGAAGGCACATGAAGTATTTGAGCATGAACACAGCATAGTCCGGCCTCTTGACCTCCTGCTCCAATAAACACGAACAGTTATGCGTGATCTCCCAACTCTGTCTGTTATGCTGCTCGTAGAAGTAACACGCCACGATGATGGTCGCGGGGACCGTGTAGAGCACCGTGAAGATCCCGATCCGGATCATCAGCTTCTCGAGTTTGTCCGTCTTAGTGCCACCCTGCTTAATGACACTTCTGATCCTGAACAGCGACACGAATCCGGCCAAAAGAAACATGGTGCCGATGAACAGGTAGATCACTAGCGGCGCCAGCACGAAGCCCCGCAGGTTGTCCAAGTTCTGGTTGCCCACGTAGCAGATCCCGGCGACCGGGTCGCCGTCCACCGAGCTCAGCGCGAGCACGGCGATGGACTTCATGGACGGGATGAGCCAGGCGGCCAGGTGGAAGTACTGAGAGTAGCCCGCGATGGCCTCGTTGCCCCACTTCATGCCCGCCGCGAGGAACCAGGTGAGCGAGAGGATGACCCACCATATCGAGCTGGCCATCCCGAAGAAGTAGATCAACAAAAACACAACGGTGCACAACGCGGGGCCGGTGGTCTCGTAGTGGATGTGCTCGACGTCGTACTCCCGGTTGCACGCCACCTTTTCGTGCCCGGCAATTAATCGCACAATGTAGCCGATCGACACAAACATATAACACGCCGAGAGGAAAATAATCGGGCGCTCGGGGTATTTAAAGCGCTCCATGTCGATTAGAAACGTAGCCACGGTGGCGAAAGTGGATATGAAGCATAACACCGACCAGAGTCCGATCCAGAAGGCCGTGAAAGTCCGCTCGTCCTGGGTGAAATACGGGTTGTGACACGGCATGGCGCAGTTCGGGATCTGACCCGTCTTGACGCGGTTGTACAGCGGGTGTCGGTCGCTGTTCAGAGCCACCATCGGCGCGCGACACTGGCAGCCCGGCTCGCAGGGCTTACTCGCTTTGGGTCCAACACCCGCTCGCCCGCTTTTCTTTTTGTGCGGATTGAAGGCTTTGCTGGGGTAGTTGGTGGGTTTGGACAGCACCGGCGACACCGTGGTGGAGTCGGTTCGGTTGTAGTCCATGCACAGCGTGTCTGGCGCGCCCTGAACGGGCAGCAAATCGCACCTCATGCGGTCCGGCCAAGGGAAGCCGTACTGCCGCATGAGCGGGGCGCAGCCCGCCTTGGCTCACTCGCATACGCTCCGGCACGGCGGCAGGGGTTTCTTGTAGTCCTCCAGGCATATGGGGGTGTACATGCTGCACAGGAAGAACTTGAGATCCGGCGAGCACTGGATCTCCACCAGAGGCCAGAACTGGTGCACCTCCAAGCCGGCTTCGTCCTGCGTGTCGTGGTTGAACTGGTTGGGCATGTAGGTGTAGTTGTAGCCGATGCCCTTGCACAGAGGAACGGCTATCTCCTGACAGGTGATCTCCTTGGCCGTGGTGCCGCTCGAGCGGGGCAGCAGGGCGAGCGCGAGGAACAGGTAAATCCCCAACAGGTAGCACTCCATTCTTTTCTCCCCTCTCCTGTCAACACAAGCAATGCAGCGCTGGAAACAGTTCAGTTCAGATCTTGAAGAGCAGACCCATCTCCGCTTCACTTGTTTGGCACGGACTCGCGGTTGGGTTGCATACCGAGAATAAATAGCCCTCGGCCGGGCGCAGGCAAAATGGCTGAGGGAATAAATGCGAGCGTCTCGTAGCTATTTCCTCTCCTTGTTCCCGCTCCAGCGATTCGTTCCAATATAAAGCCGCGTTTAAAAGAGTCTAAACTTCTCCGGTAACAAAAACACTCCCGGTGTAAACGCGTTTTCTACATTCGTTCCGTTCTCGACAGCCTTTCTCATAGAAATCAGTGCCGTGGAGTGGGACGCACCGAGTATAAGAGACAGCCGAGCGGACACGCCCCCCATGCGCCGACCGCCAATCACAACGCGGCGAGGGCGGGTCGCCCAGGCGTGTCAATCACGTTTGCGCGAGGTGTACAATTGCAGAACGTTGTTTTCGAAAGGGAACACAAATTAGATCAAAGATACAAGTTTGTGCCTGAAGGAGGCAGATCGAACAAATTTGATAAATACAAGTAGCGTTTGTATTGAATCTCTAATGCGTGGTTTTATGTTATTTGATGTCGTTGTTTACTAGCAGTGTGTATTATGAAAAATCTATAGATCGCTTTATTGTGGTGAAAGTGGATGCATATCAGACAATTATTATTAGGCCTGGTTTTTTTCTTTCTTTTGAATGTTCTATTCTATAGATTTTTTTTTTTATTATTGTAGCGTATTATTTCAATACCTTGACTACCACAGAAAATAATGTGAAAAGATGCATTATCTGTGCTGTAAAATGCTATTTATTTATTTGCAGGACATGATGACAAACAGATTTATATGAATGCATAAGTTAAAGTGTACGTTTCAGGTGATTTGCCTGCTCAAAATGTAAAATATATTTTTTTTAAATCTTTTTAGCATTTCACTGAAATATAACTGCGGTGTGACAAATGACTGTTTTTAAAAAGTAGCCTACATATAAACATGCGGCCATAAAACTGCATGCACAGTATTCATAAACGACTTGTTAAAATAGTTTTTTGTAAGTTACAGCATGCCACACTGCTTGTTAACAATCCATGTTTAAATTAACATTCAAAAGTTTGTGGCTTTGGGTCCAGCTGCAATTTCACCAGCAAATGTTTACTGTCCGAGCCTCATTATTTCAGCCTATTATTTTATGAAGCTCTGCATAGATACAAAACATAAAAAAATAGAAAATACACCAAGAGTCCATCTCATCGGGCCCCCTAATTTATTGGGGTTAATTTGTGAATGATAGGCCTGGCGGGCGGGGGGGGGGGGCGGGCCGTCTTAAAGGAAACGCAATGTAATAGTAAAATTAGAGAGTGTAAAACAAACGATTAAAGAGCTCCTTCACAAATACTTTCATGTTCAATAGCTCCAGAAGGAGTTTTTTTTAACAGATTTTACGAGCGATCTCTTTGAACTCTTGTTCGGTGCGTTAAAAGGCCCATACGTCCATCAGGAGTAATTACATTTACCTAAATGTAATATGTATAAAGCTGTTTCCTCTGCTACAACCGTTTAATGATTTCCATTACAAAGCTGCGATGACGTTATGGGACATCACAAACCCCAAACCTGTTGCGCTGGTTTGTTTTTCTTCTCTTTGAGCTCCGATATCTCAATAATTATTTTACTGCTTTCTTTAGGGAAACTCGCAGGGATTTAGGAACAGGTGTGCCCTCTGTGGCAAATGCGGGCAGATGAAAAGTAGAATCGCTTTCACTGATTATGTCCATTATTCCCCCAGCCATATTGATTAACAGGAAGATAGAGCACACTCTAGTCTCCAGCAGTCGGAGCGTAACCTTTTACCCTGGCTCTATCCCAGCTCCGGCCAGGCTTGGGTTACATAGTGCCCGGGCATTCCAGAGTACAAATGGAATTAGTGCATCTGTTCGAAAGTTAATTTCCAAATCACCATTGAATGAGTCTTTAGAAAGAGCTGAAATGGTGGCCATCAGCCAGAATAACACGCCTTCTCGTGTATCGGGCCTAAGGATTCTTTGTGCGCTTATTATTATTTCTAAAGCGTGGATTATGGAGCTTCAGATGGGAATTAATTTTCTACAAGTAAGAGAGTCTTTCAAATAAAACTGCAGTAATACAATGTGGAGCTCGGCGTGGATTTCTTTCGTAGGTTTTATGCAATCTGTTCAAATGTTTTCAGGCTACAATAACCAAATCTAAAAGTGAATGCAATTAAAGGATTTTTAAGGTCTATTACAGTGTTTGTGGCACAATGACATGTTGACAAGCTAATTTCCTAAAAACATAATAATACATTTTGAGCTGTAAAATGGTCTTATTTATTTATTTCCCTTTAAATATGAGTATCTACGATAGATAGATAGATAGATATTATTTAAATATGTTAGCAATATAATGATAAATTGCTCTAAATATTATTTATTTATTATTACTACTACTACTTTCTCTTTTTAGCAATTTTAACAAATTTTATGTTAAATATTGGTACAGTTAAATCTGTTTGAATACATTTTTTATAAGTTTCTTGAGCAGCCAATCAGCATATTAGAATAATGTCTGGATCATGTGACACTGAAGACTGTAGTAATTCAGCTTTGCATCACAGGAATGAATTACATCTGAAAATATATTCAAATAGAATTTTTTTTTTTTATTGTAACAATATTTCACAATATTATAGTTTTTCTGCATTTTTTATCAAATAAATGCAGCCTTGCTGAGACTTTTTTTTTTAAACATTAAAACATTTTAATTATTCCAAACTTTGAAAGTAGAGTTATTGCATTTACAGTAAGGTACCCTACCTTACTGTAAATGCAATATCTCTACTTTTTTAAGTAAGGGACAAGTTCTGATTATTTTCTGTAGTAATGAATTATTCCACAAATGATGTGGATACAGCTTAATTTGTTGTAAACCTGCAACATTCCGTCAAGGTCTAATTATTAGTTTTCCAATTTACACTTAACAATAACAGCTTAAGTAATCTTGTTTCCAGTAATCACCTCTCAATATAGGAATCCGAATCACATTGAGCATGTTAATGAAACACTGTCTGTGTGTGCAATCCATTAGCATAGTATGTATTGATTGGGTACACAGTGTGATTACATCTGCAGGAATCTTATCAGTGATGTTTACGTTTCATTAAGACTTTCAGCCAGACTAATAGAGCAGAATGTGTATTTGCCTAGTACCACACACTTTAGCACACTCTAGCCCAGAGAAGACATCTATCTGGAATCTGAGCGGGAAGGTGTAAGATATGAGAGAGAGAGAGAGAGAGAGTCAGCCATTAATGCGGGCCGCTCAGTGGACAGGTAATGATTCACTGTGAACTGCCGCTAAACTCAGATTTATGGCTCATGCTGCAGTTATTGAGTGACAGAGAGCATGTGAAAATTCTTCTTCAGGGCTAGCTGTCTTATACCTGATTTACCTGAGGTCATGAGGAGACACTATTGAGACAATTAAGCTGTCTGTAGCTGTCTGTCAGTGTGTGAGAGAGAACATGCGTTTTCTCCTCTACCAAATCCTGAGTCTCAACTGGAAAACAGCTCTGTTCCAAAATGGAGTGAGCTGCCTGCTTACCAACATTAAACCAAATTCTGTGTACACAGAGGCCATTCACTAAAGAACTGATGCTTTCTTGTATTCCAAAACATGCATCCCAAGAATGCACTGCAAGTTCAGTTAAAAATAAAAGAAAAGAGAAAAAGTCACTCAAGCCAATACCTTTATAGATAATAAATGCACTTTAAAAACTATTTTACGCATTTTTGTGCAATATTTGTGTACAGCGTGCAATTTTTTTAATGTTTATTAGAATATCTCGCAGTTAGCTTAGCAACATGCTAACACCAAGCTCTGAAATCAACTGTCAGTGAGTTGAATCGGCTCTTTACGTTGCATAAAGAGTGCACAAGTTAGCTGTCTAAGGCAAAAGATACACTGTAAAAAATGTTTGAAATATTTACAGAAAAATACTGAAATTTGCAATGAAAAAATGTAAGTGGTTTAACATCGCATTATATGTAATTTCACTGTAAAATACTGTCAAATGTATGCTTTTTGCAGTTAAAAACTATAAATGATCAAATCATTTACAGTGAAAAACGGTAAAAGGAAGAAGTCCCTTTTGTTATCAGTAATATACTGTACATTATGGTGTGTTTTGTGTTGCTGTAGCCTAATTTAGTTAATGCTTATTTCATTATTTTTGTGTCATGTCTTAGACTAATGGTGTTTTGTTTTTGTGTGTATGTAGCTGTGCACCATTTATGTAGAAGCATTGGTTGTGTTTAATGGATGGGCCATTTAACCCTTAAGGTGGCAGGGTTTTTTGGAAAAAATGCTGGATTTTGACATCAAGGCTTCAAAAGCATGTGGCTTGAAAGGGCTTAAAGTTAGAGATCTACTGTAAATTAGAAAAATGTTGGGCATGACCGAAAGTTTGTGTGGGGTGTAAATATACTCATCTAATTTGCATATTATGACGTCATCATATTGAATTGATGTTATTAAAACTTATTTGCATGTTTTTTTTTTGTCTTTTTATCCTCATTCCAAATGATTATAAAAGAGCTTTTTTGCTTTCTGTTTTACCACTTGTATTATTATAGTGGTTATTTGAAAGTAAAAAAAGCCGATCTTAGAAGCTTAGGTTGTTAATTAACATTACTTGATGAAATATAGGGTAATAAGTTGTAACATAAAAAGCACCAATCGCATAATACCTGAAAACACTGGCAACCACATCCGACAGTTTTTCACATAAAGTTAACAGGATAGTTTAAGGCCGCTCACTAGCTTTCAGCACAGATCTAGCATGCTCTCCAACTGCCTCTAAGTCAATTAACAGCCTTGTTTTAAGGATGTGTTTAAGAATTGTTTTTCTATGTTTGTTCTTTGACTTGCCCCCACATTTCTCCAGAGTGATGTTGG